GAAATTAAGTTTTCAAAGGTTTTCAAACTTCTTAAACTCAATATCCAAATTTTCTTAAGTTATAATAAACTTTGTCTTGTGGAGGTGTACTGGTACCCGTCTGTGTTGAGCACTCGAGCAGTCGAATCGAATAAAGTTGAACGGGTTTGGGCGGGTACCCGAGTCATATGAACACTCGGTTAGTCCGACATAATCAGACCAGTTCGGGAAAGGTCAGATGAGTTCGAGCGAGTTGCCCCGATAACCGAGATTCAATATAGCATTTTGTTTGAAATACGATCATTGGCAGAGAATGTTATTCCCGGGACCCCTCAATTTGATAGGTGTATTGGATAGATATTTTTATCAACAAAAAGAATACTGCAAACCGCTAGTGCGCAACGATTCATAGTTTTCGAAATATTGGTTTCTAAATGTAATAACAACAATACTTTCATCTACTTTTGGTATGTCGATGGAGAGAGGTAGCACTTCCAATGATGTATGTCGTCAAGATCATGATCTTAAATAACATTCGTTCAATGTTTAGGCTTAGTTTTTTTAAAACTATATCCCCTAGTATTATATTCTGAATTTCTATAAACCGAATGCCTAAGATTAGCTTTTTCTTCTAGAAGAAAACACTGATGCTATTGTGGTGAAAGTATTGTTGTACATTTAATAATATTGATATCTCGAAAGCTATGCATCGTATAACATTATGCCCTATTAAATAAATACACCTGTAGGCGTTTAAGTGTAGGGAGAGATGAGGGTTTCGTCACCCCGGACGCCTTTAGTTCGGGCTGGGGACCGCTAGGTGGCGGCGAGACGATCGGTGACAGCGTTCTCGCAACCAGTCGCCTGGCATGCAGTTCGAAGTTCCGAATTGCGGTATGATAGATGTATGGGGTAGGGATCGTCTGTTGTCAGCCCCACTGACGAGCCTGACAGACGATCCCCCTTTTCCCCTCTCCTATACACCTATCAAATTGAGCGGTTCTCGATATTAACATTATTGTCTATTTTGAATATATTGAACTGTTTTTACGCAATTGATTTGTACCGACCGGAGTTCGAAATTTCGGGTACCCGCACACATCAGAGTACTGAGATATAATAATTAATTATGCAGACTATACTCGAGAAGACCACTATCGTCAAAACTATAACAATTAATATTGACAAAATTCCATTACCCATTGAAAGCATTGGGTCGGAGGTGATAACAGAGCGAAAGGTCCAAAATTAAAAGCTAGGCAAAATACATACTATCTATTTTTACCTGACAGTGCAGTGTTATAAAAATTGATACCCCTACATTAATAACGAAAGGATTATTTTGGAAGCTCTCCTTGAAATAGTGATTCTTCCCCGGTATCATAACGATATCAGTATATGGAAAATTCGATAAAAAAGAATTTCATCGGTGCTTTACCACTTCGCTTGATCCTAAAATACAAAAGAATTCACGATCCTCAAATAAACGGTTAAAACGTCAGATGGAATCTCCGGTGGGTAGAGGAACCGAGGGACAAAAACGTGTCATCTTTTGTCTACGAATCGCATGCCAGAAGAAAGAGAACGACACAGCGAAGAGCATGGTTAATGAACGAAGAGAACTGACAAAGGGAATGGAAGGAAGAACTGTAAAAATGTGCATCAAACGAGCATCGAAAGCGACGGTGGTAAGGATCGACTGAAAGGTTTAACGGCGCTTGGTGACGCGCCAGAAAAGATTTAAAGGGAGCAAGACGGCGGCGCACGTTTAGCATCACGAAATTGGCATCACTCACGTAGCTCGAATGAATTCGAGAATAGGATCGATTCAACGTTCAATTATTGCAAAAAGTCCACCTGGAGGAAAAAAACCACCTCCCGCTGATTTTGCGTTAACTGTCTTCGTTAGTCACGAGGAGGATCGTATCCTTAAAAGAGACCTAATCGAGACATGCTTATCTTTAGTTTTCATGTTCTCAAAGTCGCGTTTGCGTTACGATCGATTTTTCACGGGAGTGGAACTTGTTTGTTACAAACTCTGCACTCCATTGCATTGGCAAGAATTCAAAAATCACTCACTCGCATGAAATAAATAAGGAACAATGATTATAAGAAATCGCGTAGCAACCAAATTAATAACTGAATAACGAGAACTATTTCAATGCTCTTTTATTTTTAACAATACAAAAATTGTAATTTTAGAAACACCCCACTGAGAAATACTGATGATGTTTTTTTTAAAGCATATTGCAATGAAAATTGTTAATTCTAACAGTTTTTATTTATAATATCACGTAATAAGAATATTATATTGCAGCTCGGTCCAAATATTTATCTTTATTTACATTTTATGAATTGATAAATGCTTTCTTTTTTACTTTTTCTAATAATTTTGATGGAAGGGGGAAGAGCAGTTCACATTTTAAGAGAACCTTCAACTAACCAATATCTACCAGGGGTGAACTGGGATTTAAATTTTTACTGGGAGATTAGTAGCATCACGAGCCCTAATTTTAATTAATTAGGCCCCAATTCCCTAACTGCCTACCAAGGATTTTCTCGAATTCCCGATGGGCCAGTCCGTCCCTCATATCTATTGTCAGCATTTCAATGAGGGAATAGATTGACGAATTGCCAATAATAAACCAGTTAACGACGGAATTTAGTTTTAAAAATTGCTCACGGGATGCATTATTAAAATCAAATAATGAAGAGTATACACGTCGAATGCAGGGCAAATGTTCGTATTATAAATTTTACAAAAAAAGTAAAGCTAAACGAAAAAGGATTACATTTTTATTCAATAAAAAATTAACAGTTCATTGTTGAAAAGGTTATTGTTATTAAAAATTTAAGAATTATCAAAAAATAATAAAATTTATACGTAAGAAAAGTTACAGAAAGAAAATAATTTTAAGAAGTTAAAATATTCAGTAAAGTATACAAAATAATTCGGACTCATTGTCAGTTTGTAAAAAGTAATACATTGTACGGGGAATATCCAATATACCAAAGAGAATAGTCAAACTTTTTCTTATAAAATACATAGTAGTTTTAATGGTAATATAAAGAACACATACCACCCAATGACGTTTTTATTACTTCTTTGGAGTTTTTATAGTAAATGGTAATTTTTTATTTTATACGACGTGTATACACGTTGAACAAATATTGAGAAGGCAAAATGATGAAAACCAAAATATTTTTAGTATTGACAATATTAATCATCTGAGAGCTATTGAAAGTACACTGGTTCCTTTCTTTACGCGGTACTTTTTGTTCATAGGTTTCCTTTTACATGGCAGAAATGCCTTCGTTAATATGGTATTTCTCATGCACGTTCCAGATTTACACGACCAAGAAACATATGTTAAGACAATTGGAGATTTAATGACAACTGTTCCTCAACTGAAATAGCTTTTCGCATAACTGTATCTTGTTTCATGATAGCTGGTCTTACTAAATTTAATACATTGTAAAAAAAACTTCTTATTTACAAAAATAATTAAAAAAATGTTTTCAAGTTTCAAAGAAAAAATGTTTCTTCTTAAAAGTTACTCCCTAGTCCATACTCTTTTCTTTTTGTTTTCATTGATAAGATTAAAACTGTATGTATTTATGTACATACAAGTTTTCGTTTGATTAGACATTTTCAAATATCAACCATTGGAATTGTAACTAATCGTAAGAATTCTGGATAGAGTGGGTCAAGTTTTTTGGCTTTATTGACAGTGTCAAATATTTAATATCTTGCATTTCATAAGATTTTACAACAGGATCTAAAACCCTAGAATCTCAGGGCTTAAAGCCTCAAAATTGTAGAATTTGGAAATTTCAGAATCTTAGAATTTTTAAATGGTGAGGGGATCAGCCCACATTTTTGGAAAGACCAGGCTCATCTTGACCCCTACTGAATTATATCAATAATGTTAATTAAAAATTGAATGTATTTTCAATAAATATTGAATGTAAGAGGTGAATGTAATTTGTCAATAAATATTGATCATTCGAGGGTCCCTTTAGCTTATAATTAGTTACGTAAATGTTTATGACGTCGTTGATAGATTGTCTTTTGTTCACGATTTCTCGGCAACTCGGATAGATTTGATGGAAAATCAGAAAGGGGGTTACGGGTTAGGAAGCTTGAAACTGTCATAGTCGTAAACGTGATCGTACAAAATTTGGGTTCTCATGTTCAGCACGTAAATGTTAAAGGTAAAGTTACCGTCATCGGATCAATGTAAACGAGTATATCGTAGCCGTGATCAAACCGGTGACTTGTTGAAAGATCGTTATAACACGTAAACGGTGAAAATTTCGCGTGTGAAGAAGTTGGTAACTCGTTAAAATTCTTTCGTTAGAAATGACTTAGGAGAAGCTCTGACGTCGATAAAATACCCAATGGTATTAGGGTAACACCATCTCTTCTGCTAATTATGGAAAGTAAGGTTCTAATAATCTCTAATCATCAATTTTCTTGTTTCTTATTATTTTTTTTTTTATTATTAGGTTAAGGTACTTATTACATTATTATGTATTTCTATTATTCGTATTTTTATTATTATTATTATTATGGTATTATTTGTCTTGCTAATTATGAAAAGTAAGACTAATTATTATCGTCAAGTCCTTATTATCTTTTTCTATTTTTATGCATTATAATTTATTTCCTACTATTATATTATTATCATAATAGTAATAAGTTATGATATATTCGAATAAAAATTTTAAGTAAACACTATTCATCCTTTTAATTATGTAGTGATTAGTAAGAGTTTTAGTAGTAAAAATAGTAAGACTTTATTAATCGTCCATTTTTATATATAATATTTCATATCAGAGAATGATTAAAATAATGTAATGAATATAATTGTGACGAAGTATAATGATTCCTAGTATCAGAAAGGTGGTTAATAGATCAACAGAATTAAAATTTTTTAGAAAACGAAACGTTTGATAGTATGCAATTGTGTTACTCATTTACATAAGAAAAACTAAAAGCATTTATTTTTCTATTTCAGGTACAAATGTGAAATCGCCTGGTAAGACCTCCCCAACGGGGGTAATCGGAACTAGAGACGGGGGAGGAATCGGTAGAACAATGAAAGAATACGAAGACCAATTAGAAGCTCTTAAAAAGGAGAACTTCAACCTTAAATTACGAATTTACTTTCTCGAAGAACGAATGGGTATTACGTCGGCGGACGAAAATGCGATCAAGAAGAATATTGAGTTGAAGGTTTCTGCACGTTTCATAGATCTTCAGTTAATTATTAATCATAATTTCTTATATAGTTATGAATTTATGTCATTTGAATTGGCATTAATTTGTTTTTTCACATATATGTATTTTCTTTTGTTTTCATTAAGTTTGTACTGACCTTTTTAAGTTTCAGATGTTATCAGTGCGCTATGTTTGATCGACTTTACAACACGGTTTCTTTGGTTTATTATTTAAGTTTTGGTAAAATACAAATAAATGCATCGGAAAAAATTATGTTTTTTAAAATTATACAATGTTTTCCAGTTTAAACTGTTTAAATTTGTCATAAGCTAGTCAAATTTATTTCAGTTTATAACTAAATAAATTCAATTTATTTGTTGACCAAAATATATTAATTTTATATGTAATTTTACGAACAATTAATTACAAATTTTTCATTAATTGTACAAAACCATATTAGAAAGAATAATTTAAAAACTAGGGTACTAAATAATTCAGTATCTGGGAATGAAAAATCTAATAGATAACGACAGATGGATTTTAATTATTCTAATTAAATTATTGTACGTCTTCGTTCACGAGATTTACTTTTACTATTAGGTTGAAATTGAATCATTGAGGAAGGAGCTACTTGAGAAGCAGGAACTTCTTAGTCAAGCAGCCAAAGCGTTCGAATTAATTGAAGAACAAAAAGAAGCTTCCTCGAGGAATCAAGCTCAATATCAACAGTCCCTTGAAAATGAACGAGAAAAGATCAGGCTGCTTGAGAAAGGTTAGTTGTGAGATTTCAAATGAAAATGGAGGAATTATTTCAGTTTCCATGATTTTTGTTTTAATGTGCACAGTTTATATATTTGATCTTTCATAATTTTTGTTTTATTATGTAATTATAAATATTCCATTTAATTTATAATAAACTCTAAAATAGATTCTGAAAAAGTAATGTATTCTAAGGTTTTAATTTATCGATTTTCATTCTTAGTCGTAACTATGCCGTTGCTCGTTTGAATTCCTCTTTCGATTTACACTCTTTGCCTCCCTTAAGACTAATTTATCCTCGGTGCGATGAAAATGTTGTGCTGCTCTCTGTTACGACAGAATTAGCGGAATACCAGGAAAAGGTTGCAGATGCATCAATCTACTATAAGGAAGCATTCGGCATTACGCCAGAGAAGGCACTGGAGAACGAAGAGAAATTGCATCAAATGGAGGAACTTGTTGCATCTCTAGAGGCCGAGGTAAAATGTCATTCAGAATATGTAATTTATTAACACATTGAGTGGTACGTGGGTTATTGGAGTTCCAAGTATTTTTTTGAATAATTTCATACAAGAAGAAACATATGTATGTATATCTTTTAATGAGCATTCCTACTCAAAAGTTGCGGGACACCCTTGTTGATAATCCTTAATTATATCATGCAAATAATTTAAATTAGCTTTATTGCCGTATATATTTATGAATATACAAATATGTTTAATATTAGTGGATTAAAATAAAATAAAATGTTTAATTGTTCAAACGTTTTAAATAATGAGAACCATATTTAATCCATTAATATTAAACTCACTGTGTGTGTGTTAGATTAATTCTATTAATCTAAGACATATAGAGGGAAAAAAGGTTTTATTATTATTAATGATTTTAATAAGGGTCTGAATAAATTACTGAAGCTATTTGTTATGATATATTTAGCTTATTGTATAAAATACAAAGGTTCATTTTATAAAACTTCAATAAAATGAATTGTCATACGTACTATAAAGGGCAAAATTACATGTCCTAAGAAACGAACAAAAAATATAATAGTATACAAATGAATTCTAAGGAAAGTAGAGAAGGTGACTTATTCATTTCTGACTCATTTCCACGGAACTCATGCTAAAGAATGATACACTGTTCGTGAACGCTACAATCGACAAGTAAATACTGTTCTACATATTTTTCTTTCTATGTATCTACATCGTTTTTACCTTATCAGTATCCACTTCCTTCAGCTGCCGCGAAAGGAATGCGTTTCCTGATAAGCCGGCTATCATTCCTCAAAAAGAAGGAAAAAAATTAATCAGTACGCTTCTGCTCGTGCAAGAGCTTGCACCGATATTCTTCACTCATAAAACATTTGCAACACGTTGTGTATTTGAGTATTTAGTATTCAGAGAAATAAACAGTTACTTCTTCTTTATTGATTCTGATAAAAATTATTTTTGTTTGTGGTGGAAAGTGTTCAACATTTAAAAATTTTTTAAACATTAATTCTGTGATTTTTGGGGATACTCTGCAAATAGGACGAGCTATATTAGTTTTGATACTGTACTAATCGTTGACAAATTTTAATGAAATCTGTATTTTTGACATTCTCGCAATTTTAATGAAAATTCATAAAAATTGTCCGTTAAATATTATTCTTGTACCAATTAATGTGGTACGCTTATAGTTATAAGGAAAGTTATAGAAAATTATGTTCAAGCAAAAATCTATCCAAAACGAACCAAGGTCAATTATGATACAATTATTCATGGATTAATATAGGTGAAACAGGTAACGAACAGTTTAGAAGAGGAACGTGTTTGGGCACAAGAGCTAGAGAGCGAAAGGGACGAATTCAGGGAACGTTTAGAAGCTGAGACGCGTTTGAAAGAGAATTTGGCTGCAGAAAGGGTGCAAGACATAGAAGAGTTACGAGAGAAGGTAAAAGAGCTGGAGGAGCAAGTGTTGAAAAGAGATACCGTCGTTCAACAGAGTCGAAACGAGCTGATTGAAAAAGAAAGAATCATTAAGGAGAAAAACGCTCAGCTGGATGAGAAGTATCGAGCGTACGAGGAGCTGAATGCAGTTTCAGAGAAAAGAAAGAAACAAGTCGATCAGTTAAGGGCTTCTATAAAAACCAGGGACGATGCCCTCACGGATCTGAACAACAAACATCGTGCCCTACTCACTCAGGTGATTCTTTGATTTCTTATTTTATTTGCATGTATTTTGTTGCAATTATCAAATGAAAATTATACTACAGGTTATAGATAATAGTTTATCTGTTGCTACTGGTGTAAACGCGAAGCCATGGTTCTGAAGTTACTAAATTTTAATAATATAGTAGTATGCGATTACAATATTCATTGTGCAATAAAAATAAAATAATGCTTGAGCATAATTAGAGTTTACAATGTAATGAAGAACAGTGGTATAATTTGGTTAATTTTAGAAAATGCTGTTATTCATCAATTTTTTTGAAATGCATAATTATTATGCAGATACATTGAAAATGCTAATGAAGGGTTTATGTAGTAATTTCCACCAAACCTTAAGTTTCAAATTGATATATGTACTACAAATGGTAATTTGTAATACTTTTATGTTAAATCATGTCAGACATTCTATGTTTCAAAATCCATCATTTATTATGCAATAATTTGAAACCCTTATTAGATGAATTTTATTAATGGAAAAATTCTAAAGTTTATACATGGTTTTTATAATTTTCCTATTAAATTATAGGTAAATAAGTGTGCATTCAAAAAGTCTAAAATCGGTCTTTTTTTACTACTGTCCTGTAATTGTATTAGTTTCCAAAGGACTGAATAAAATATAATACTTTCTTTAAATAGTTTTTACGTAATATGTTATTTTGAGTTATATCGGATAAATAATTTTCAAAATCTTTAATTAATTTTCATTACAGTTTGAAAACGGTTACGCCAAGCGATCTCCACCTAGCAGTCCATCGGCTATGAATCCAATTGAAGATCCTTTACAATCGAGAATGGGACAGAAGTTAACGTGTGTCCAAGGGATGACGAAGAAGGCAAACACTTGTCTCGATTGGGAACCAAACCGAGAAAGGTCAACGAGAATGAAGTCGCCATTGCAAACTCTTAGCGGAGAGGTCAAAGACGTGAGAGATTTGATCAAGGTTCGTGGAAATTTCTATCCTTCCCCTTTTTACTTCCTCGAATTACTTCAGTCTTGAAATACGCTTGCAGTTAATCTTTTTTACTTCTGTAAAGATATATAATAAATAATATTAACTCTAGGAATCACAAGGTTTTGTAAAGTTTAAACTCGACCTTTCAAAAATAAGAAAAAATGATTTCAATAAATCAAGTATTTTCTATACTTTTATATAATTTTTCTATGAACTGTGGGGCTTACAAAATCTGTAAAAATTTGTAACTAAGAAGACTTTAATGTGTGTTGATATAATTATTTGAAAATTTATACATGTTACTCGCTATTCTTTCATTAAGTTTTTAAATTTTACAAAGTAAATTAGATTGGACCTATATGGACACAGAAAATCCTCTATGGAACCAAAGTTGAAAATTTAAAGAAGAATTAAATGTCTTTTTCTTATATACATATGCTTTAGTTCTTAAAATTGTTATTGATCATATTAAATTTCTATTCATTCTATCTGTCAATACAAATCCTAATTAATTTATAATAACGAATTTTATTTTTAGACACAAAACTAGATGATTAATAATCTACTAAAGTTATGATAATTGAAAAAAAAGAAAAAAATACTTAGGAATTAAAAATTTTATAAACATTCTTTGACCTCTTCCTGGGATTCCTAAAGTTAATTTACACCTGTCCATTTATACAAATAAAACATATTAACTGTAGGAAATAGAAGAAAAAGATGCTGACTTGAAACGTCAAGAAGAATCAAGAAAGCAATTGGTATTGAAGTTGTGTAACATGCAAAAGCACGTTGAAACGACGGACTACAGGCTGAAGAAGTTGGAAGGAGAACACGAGAAAGCCATCAAGACAATCCAAGGATTCATGGAGAGACAACAACAACTGGAGAACGTGAAGCTGAGGAAGGAACAGAAGATCATGGAGTTGGAAATCGAATTGAACAGGTTACGAGAGTGCGAGAATATCCAGTCATCGAGGGATAGTCATAATCAGTTTATTCGAAGAGACTTCAGCACCGACATGACGGATGATCCGGAGCGAGATCCCAGCAATCAGGTGGACATCATGATTTATCTACTTTGCACGGTTGTCTCTACGTTTTTAAAAGATCATACAGTGATAAAAGTTTCTTTTTTGAAGCTTTACATTATTATCCCTAAATTATTTTCATGATTGATAAGAATGTATCAACAAATTCAAACTGTAACCTTCGCAATATACATACAATTCAGTTAATATTATTGTAATACAATAGTAATGATATCAATATCGTAGACATATTACTAAAATCTTAATTCAGGCGAATCGCGGTGGCCTTTACAATCAAAGGGTTAAGTAGTCTGTAGTTCCATAAATTTTTGTCACCCTTCACACATATTAAGTGTTCTTGTTTCATTTTTTTAAATTGAAGATTTTTAAACAATTATAATAGCTCTAATTATCGAAATAATTTGTATCGTTATTATATTTTCGTGCCACTTTTTAAATATACAGAAGCGTGGATAAATATTCAAATTTAAAATGGTAATTACGAAGGTGTAATATTAAAGGCATCGAATTAATTTATACACCTAATATGCATAGTAAAATTTTTATATATTTAGAACAAAAAATTAGACTTATCTTTAAATATGAAAGAAAAAAGATTTTTATTTTTCAATTTTTCTACTAAAAGTATTTTTAGTAAAAGATGAACTTTCTATACTTATCATATTTTGTATCTAAATGTCCACCAATTATCCACTTTCTTTTCTAATGCGACCATTACATCAGTTGCAATATTATCTTGAAAATTTGAACCTAATGTGTATATTTTATTTATTAACAATTCGGAATGCAATCGTTCGAATACTTTTATAAACGACTGTAATTCTTAACAAATACATAATTAGTTATACTGTATGAGAATTTGCAAGCGTAGAGACAGATCTTTGAATCTGTAATGCATGGCTTAACTATTATCAAACGTTTCTCTTTCTTTCAGAGATACTGAATATCACCTAACATCTTCTACTTCTCTTTTTCTACTTTTCGCCAATCATCACTCTCACTGCATGACACTTACTGCTTTTGGGCTACCATTTATTAATTTGAAAAATTGAGACAACAAGTAGCTGTGCACTATTCAACATGTACGCATTAAAGGATTCGAGCTCAGACTTTAGTAATTTTTCAATCACTTTTTGAACTACAATTTCCTACATATATAAAGGTTTCTTTTTTTATTCGTTTGTTTGTTATTTATCTTTTGTCGATTTTTATCAAGAAGTTTCAAATATTTTTATTGATTATCATTTTTTTTTTTAAAGAAAAAATATACTTTTTTGCACGAATTCGTAGTATTAACGCATGGCATGGATAAAAACTACGAACAAGAGTATTATACCTTTAACTTGTGTATGCGTACCGCTGTTGATTTGAATAGTTGTATTTTATACAGTTATATGTAAATTTTTTATTTCACTGACAAGTTTTAATAAATTTTTGTACAATTTTTTTTTATACTGTTTTCCTAACTAATTCTTTCATAAAATCATATACTGCATACTGTTTCCTCAAAGTCCAAGCTACTCAACTCTACATGTTTTTTATTTCAAATAGACTGTTTGATAAATTTATAATTAGATTTTCCATATATCTTTTAAATTTTATTGGCATATATATCATCAAAATTGACAGAACTATGTCAAATTTTGCAAATGTAAATCAAATATAAATTGACGAAGCTTTCGAGAGACTATAATTAATAAAAATTAAAGTTATTCGTTAATTTATATCGTGGATTGGATTATACTAAGGAAATTATGGAGGGAAAATATTAAATTTTAAAACCTTATGGACAATTTTACAACAATTTTATAACGTATAAAAAATATCTAATTTTTTGTTGTTCAGAAATACTATTTTTTAAACTAATTTATAATCACCTGCTGTTGTGTAAAACTTTTCAGAAAATTCTTTTAAGCTGCGAAGCTCCGGTGTTTCTTCAATTCTGTTCCAAAATTTACCCATGGGCGAATCTATATATAGTTTAATTAAGCTGTAGCCCAAGGTTCCAGTTCCTCAAGGGTTATTAAATTTAAATATTTTTTCAAAAGATTAACCTAATCTCCGTTGATTTTTCATTTGATTATCGTAAACTTTTATTTAAAATATTTTATTAAGAAAAATTTTAAGAATTACTTTTAAAAGTTATTTTTTAATTTGAAACATGTAAATCTAAAAACATTTAAAGCAACAAAAACTCAAAATTTTTACAGGTTGCACAATATAAATTCTTTTAATACTTTAGTTCTACCTTTGTTACATTAAATTAAAATATTACAATAGAAAGCACAATAATACTACTATAATGACCTTTTTTCTAAAATTACGATTCACATACAAGATGTTTTAAATTATTTCTTAATTCGAAACAGTTTTAAAATGATACAAAATGAGTTTCTTATTATTTTGTGCTAATACGGGGATAAATAACATCTTTTTGAGGAAACGATAGTATTGTTTTATATGCAGAGTGTCTTACGAAACTGGGCGAAGCTATAATTTTATAATAGAGTAAAAGATAGAAACTAATTTTATTAGGTCATAACTGTTTTTCTAAGTGAAAATGTATATTTTTCATTTTGTTACTCTCTATAAAAAGAGTATCAACACTCATGAAATATTTCAAGTTATTATACGAAATATTTCCCTTTTAAATTTTACAAATGTCTGTGTAATCGTGTACGATCGGTTTACGTGAAAAGAAAAATATACTGTTCTGTTTGACTCTTACGTTACTGTGTTACTATAATCATCTAACACAACATTTACATCTCAAAATAACAGACATATAATTGAAAAAACAGTAATATTTACATCAGAAATATCTTATTACGAATAGAATTTAATGAATAAAATTACTTTATTTATATTCGGATATTGAATGAAATAATTTAATATAAACAGTATGTAGCGGGTTTGAGGGATGGTAAACTTAGGCTACCGCCCAGGGCGGCGAACACCCCAGGGTGCCTTAATTTTAATTTTAATTTTTAAAAACGTTTTATAAAAAAGGAAAAAAAATTCAAGCTGGAAAAGTTATAGACACCCTAAAGCCGACCCTGATTATACAAACGTACAGTTGTGTTTAACGGAAGCAACGACAGCAAAAGGTTTATAAAAAAAATTAAGTTAATCCTAAACTCTTGATCCGATATAATTTTACTTCGAAATATTTCTTTCGTGTAGGAATAAATTTACAAAAAAATTGAAATTATCACCTTTGGGTGTCTCGCTTTGTGTATCAGGTCGTTGCAGCCGTATCATTCTGAGCAAATAAATGTATCTTTAGGCCAATTTGCCATAATGACAATTTTTTCGGACAATGAACGTACATATCCGGCGTAGTACTCTAAAGGTTAATGATATTTAATCTGTTAAAAGTCAAGAGTACAAGATGTTAAAAGTCAGATTAATTTAGGACTCTCCAGTCTAACGACCATTGACAACCCACACAGAAATTCCATCCTAAACGAGCACGAATTATCGATGCTAGGAGAAATACGACTGAATGAAATCGGCACGATGCTTTTTAAGACGATCAGCTATCGAGTAATATTCGTGGAAGACCAAGTCCCGGCGACATGCTATCCTCGTGATACGAAAACGAAGACGTGCCTTTCGTCTAATAATAGAGACAGTCCGCTCGCGAAGTCTGCGCGATCCGTTCACGACAGTCTTCGCACGAGAATTCGTCTCGACACTGTTCCAACCACCGTGGCTTTCCTCCACAACGAACGACAATAACGAAAAAAAGAATAAAAAGAAAAAAAAAACGAGAAAATACTAAAAAACACGATCGACGAATCTCGATCAGGAGACTCGAGGAACCGACCACGTATCCTTATTTTTTACTTTTTAATTAAAACGACGATTAAAGTACGAATCGCGAGGAAAAATAACGTGTGATTATTATTATTTTTTATTTATCTTAACGACGAAGGGAAAAACGACCTTCGAGAAAAAAGAAACGAAATTTCGAGGAGAAAAATCGGTCGAATTGTCACGAGATTGAAAAGCAACGACTTTTCACGATTTTCCACGTTTTGAAAGACGGATCATCACTGAATTCGAAGATCGACTCGAAAAAAACGACGCTATCTTGAATTTTTTGTGGATATTCACCAGTGCTAAGTATCCTAGCATTCGCGTCGAGTATCTTTTCAAGGATTATAATTCGATACAATTGAAATCGAACAAGCGATTAAAAATGTTCTCCTGTTTGTGTGCCTCGATGAGGATGGAGGTAGGTAAACGTATTGAGTGTCGTGTTAAAAAAGAGCCAATCGGAATTTTCATTTAGAACATCTTGATTCAGTGTATTTAAGATTACGTGTTTGATTTTGATAAATAAAAGGAAGTTAAACAAATATTACTATAGTATTTTTGAAAGTGAGTAAATAATAATTTCTCTGAAAAAATTTACTTTTCTCAGTTGTGTTATTTGGCAAACCAACGATATCTTTAATGATAATGAAAAGAGTATGATTCAATCATTTGGGAAACTATGTATATCATAATTAAATTACATGTCAGTTTTGGGCAGGAGATTAGATATTTGAATTTTTATACAAAAATTTGAATTAGCGGTCAATTATTTTTAAATATTATTTATTGTATTACATTTAATAAGTGATCTTCAATGTCATTTCAAAATTTCTATCGTCTAACCCAGACAAATGTACGAATTAAAAGTTATATTTATTAATTTTGGCTCCCATAAATATAAAAAGTAATGAAATTATTTTTCACATAAATATGAAATCATGATTCATTTTTTTATTTACTTCAGATAGAAACAGATAGAAATCAAATTTAGTCGTGTACCCTTTTAACTTTCTTTTATAAAAAGGAATATTATTTTATTTAAAAACAAGAAAGTGATTTATGATGAACAAACTTAAAATACTGGTAGCCAACAATTTAATCATCACCTGCAGCACACTACACAATGCACATAAATTATACTAATTTACAATTAATATCGCTAATTGTTTCCCTGCTTGTTAATGAATATTTCTTTTCTAGTGCTTCGCTTTCTTTTCACTTTCGCAACGCTAAAGATTCTGAAACTATCATAGATTCTAAATTCCACTGTTAAACTATCCGAGTTTAATACCAAAAATAAAATAGCAAATTAAGTGTTCAGAAGATCGGTAGAGCATTAATCGAGTAAAACTACAAATTAGATCTATTTGTTTGCTTTTAGGGGCCAGATATTGTAACCCTTGTCTCGCCTCGCAGTTGGTCAAGGAAACCGAAACTCTAAATATCCTAAATCACTAAAACAGAAAATTCTACACGATGATTAATAGCATGCAAATGTCCCTCTATTTTTACCTTCGATTACCACGAATTCCATGAACACCGAAATTCTTTCAATTTGTTTAATTAGCACGGCTTAGAAATGCAAACAATAATTTTGTCGCACGCAACTTTTGTACATAAACATACTATCTTTGTAATCGCAGCTGTTTTGCAAATAAAGCCTACCGATCGTTCAAACCGATTTTGTTTCCGAGTTTTATTGACAAGAACAATACTTTATATGTGCAGCAACGATTCGACGAAATGGAAGCCAAAATTAACGACCTACGAGACCAAATAGAGACGATCAAGGCTGAGAAGAGTCGTTTGGAGAAGCAGATTGAAGTTGAATCGGAGGTAACTTTCATTTAATTATTTCAACAATTTCCTATAAGTATTCTGTACTTGTTAGTAAATATGAACGGTGTAAGTATATTCATGATCAAATCAGATTTTCCCAGGAAATACGGGGATGTCCCAGATTTCTACCTTTTCTCGTAGGCGTCCCAGGGGAAAATGGCAATATAAGAATGGGGCCCCCCATATCTATACCTATATATAGGTCTGTGGCCCCCACCACCACTTGCGTGTAAATGTTTACGCAGAAAAATTTGAATTAATACATTCTTTGTTATTCGTAGTTATATGTATATTAAATGTAACAATATTTAATAGTTAAAAGTTATATTATTTTTATTTTAAATCACTTTTAATATTGATATAGTCAAAATTATGATTTAAGAATTGCTGTTTACCTTGTATCGACATTTTTCCTATGAAAGCCTGATTTGAACGTGAGTGTACAATTGTAAGAAACTTGGATTCTTTTGTCTTTTTATTATTTTAAAATTTGGGAAATGTCTTTTCATTTATTCCTAGAAACAAGTACTTATAACGGAACGTCAATTTTGAAATAATCATAATTTTTCATCATATCTACTATAAAATAAATGACAATTCTTTTAAACATTTACATAGAAAATAGTATAACACGTAGACAGTATGTAAGATCTGAAGTAATTTTACTCTGTTATATATTATATAAAAACAGAAAGGTAGCTGCCAAATGATAGTAAACATTCACATTCCATGTAGTAATAGTAAAAATTAACATTTTTTCATCTTCAATGTGAAGAACCCAAGTACTTTATATTTAATAACTGTATTTTGATTGGAACATCAATTTTAGCCACTTAGATTATACAGGGTATTCGACAACAGGTGAAACAAATTATACGAGATGATTTTTGAACTTGTTTTTTTAGTTATTAGAGTTAAAAGATTCGTGTGAAAATCGCCTAAAACCGGCCTGTACAGTCATTGCCACCAGCCATTGGATACTAAAAACTTACCACGTGAAATTGAGTTCCTTTTTGCTATAGTATGGTATAAAGTAAGTACTGACAAATCGTTGCATATCATTAAACATTCTTTTTTTAATCTTGGACGAAATGTTATAACGCACATCGTATTCACTAAAATTAATACAGGATTGTCAACCGTTCACACGTTACATTAAATATCGCAGAATAGCACATGTTGAGCTTCTAGTATTCTGATTGTACACGTCCTTACTTGCATGAAGTTCACTCGTCGGTGCTGTGCAGATTGCCGGTTATAGGCGCATTCATTCAAATTTTCAACTTTAATTAACAAAAAATAAAGCCGCGAACTCGATTTCGTCACTTTTGTTAAAGTGATTTTTGTTAAAATTTGTCCCACTTGTTGGCGATCACCTTGTATAAAGAATCTTCCTGTTATTGTTAATGTAAAAAGCAAAATATTTTTAAAGTATACGATTAAATGAAACGGAAGAATTGTCAAATAGTAGTTAACTGAAACCGATAAAGAATTAATACACAATATGAAGAACTAAGAATATTTCACCTTTGAGTATTGTTTCTTATATCAATTTAAATATCATAACAATTTTTAAATTATGTATCTAAATTTTTGAAAGCAAACTTTCATAAAGAATTGTACTATTTTGTATTTTCTAATCAGATCTCTTAAAGAAATCGTTTTATTGATTGTAAAAACGTATACGTAGGTAATAATAACCATTTGTTTATTACCTCTTTTGATTTATATTTATAAAATCTAACTGTTTTCGTTCGTACGTTATATTACAATTCAGTTTTAATTACAATCACTTCCTTACATCCTGATGGCTCTTACAGTGCCTTTCAATTAGTTCTTTCAATTGTTTTACAACATTGTTTATTTAATTTAGAATTATCTTTGATTACATTTTATGACAAGTAAGAGTCAGTTAACTAACGTACTATAAAATATTCACTCTTACCACCCACATATCATTTGTACGAGTTAGTTTAATTTGTAAAGTGACTCTCATTTACTTCCAAACAAGACCTTTTATTTACAAGTAAAACGTTGATTTCCACGCTGAAGCGATTAATTTTAATTTTGAACAAATCTCATCCCATCAACATAATTTCAAGTATTTAATATGAATATTTCGAATCGTTCGAAAATTCTGAACGATTTGAGTTATAGACTACTATGGAAATTTAAGTATGATTTAAATATAGTAGTCAACGTGTTAAATATTATTTTACATATCCTCCTATCTTACAAAACTAATAAAAATAAACCCAAAGCGCTTAAAATCAAATAAATGTAAAGCATCTTATTAACACGATTTACATATCATTTCCCAAACTCATCAAACATAAATACAATTTGTTCCACAGGAACTGCAGGGACGACTTCAAGACAAGGAACAGAAGATAGAAGTTTTAGAAATCGAGAAGCAGACGATAAGGGAGCAACTACAAGACAAAGAGAAGGAGCTCGACAAATTAAAAGAAACAGCGAAAACTGAAGGTGAAGAGGTGCTTGAACGAGAGGACCTTCTTCGACAACTTCAGCAACGAGACACAGAGATAGAGGAGAAGAATCAAAAGATCGAACAGCTGTCGAAAGAGCTGCAGGTGAAAACTCAGAATTTGCAGAAGCTGGTGAACACGGAATTGTGGAGCAAGAACAAGGAAATAGCGAAACTCCATAACCATATGACTGCCACCTACTGTCACGAAAGGAGCCGAAACAAGTCGGACATGATGCAAGAGAGCGCCAGCGCGCAGCTATCGACCCTGGTCAAGGAATTGAACGACATTGGTATCAGGGTAACGTTTACCAATGAAGTGATCCAACTGAACTACGTCGACGGGAACGAGCCCATTGATGTAAAAACCATGACGGATTATGTACAGAAGCTGGTGATGCAGAAGAACGAGTTAGAGAAGGAAGTCGACTACTTGAAGTGGTTGAAACTAGTCTCGAGACCGGACATTGCGACAGAAATCGACGGATACGGGGATAACCAGACGGAGAGAGCGAAAAAGTATTGCGAATTGTTACGTACTCATTTGAAAGACTTGATGAAGTTCATGCAAGAGATGATGAAGACTGTAGACCATGCAGACACAGTTGGTAATGAGCATAAAAGGATTGTACTCGATGTGTTGATGAGCTCGAAGATACTGTCTGATGATTTTGTTAACGCATTGGAGGGTCTTTCGACCAATGATCTTCCATTTAACTTGGAGCAAGTAAGCGCAAGGTCGATGGATAATTCGGTGAAGAAAAGTTGGTCAGAGAATCTGCTCAGTGCTACTAAAAACCATGGCTCTACGCAGTCTGATTCAGAAGCGTTTTCAGAACCGGATAGAACTGTTTCTTTGGCTAGGATTGGGCTACAGGAGACGCAACAGAAATCGTTGAATCGATCCAGGTTTTCTAAGTACACCAAGACGTTCAGCGATTCTGAGGACTCCTTGGAGTATGTGCCTTATCATAATATTTATCAAAATGATTTGAATGATTCTGAGACGAGTCATCATATACAAGAATTGAAGGAAACGAATGCTTTGTTGTACAATGAGCTCAGTGCTCTTAGAAATGATTTGACCAGCAACGTTTCGTTCGATTGTGTAAGTATTTATTTACTCTTGTTGTTAGGGTAATGAATTATTAACGAAGATCTTTGTTATTTTATCATTGATAAGGTCCATTAAAACAATAATTATTAAAGATACGATCAGTTAATTCGAAATTTCGGTTTTTAGATTGGTACCTTGCATTTTTAACATAATACTAAGAGTATTTAAAGTTTTCTTTATTACTAATTATTTGGTTATATAAAATTGAATTGGCTGAGAAATTGAAATGATTAAATCCTGTTATTAGTCCACCATTATACTTATATGCATAATTAGGAAAAATTAGGAAAAGTTCAAAAACACATTCAGATATTTCTAAAATTTTTATGATCTATCCTAATAAGCAATCGCGAGATCTTAATAATTATCAATTAAAATTTTCAGAATTTAAAAGAAAAATGTAAATATTTTTACTTTAAGTATTTTACTTTACGAGGAATAAATTTTGACTGCTATTAATTTTAATAAAATCATAGTTATTGAAAGTTGTCAGTAAATATTAAAATCTTAAAATTAGTTATTAACCTGTTATACAAATTTTTGTTATTGCTATAATATTTTTTTGTTAATGTTATTAGGAATTTGATGAAAAAATATCTCCCTTAATCATTAAATTGGAAAAGTCGCAGAAGTTCTGCGAGAAATTGCAATCGTCTTTGGAAAGGAGAACACACGAAGTTCACGTGTTGAAGAAGGAAAATAAACAAAACTGTGCTCGCAAAGCACAATTAGAAAAGAAATTAGTTGATCTGGAAAGTATGGCAGCGGAAATGAACAAACAGAAAGCCGAATTGATGCACTATAAAGAAAACTCTGAGAGGAAAACCGCGGAGATGTTGATAACGCTTAACAGAGAAAATGATGCGGTAATTAATTATTTTCCTGATTATATTCGAGTTGAAAAATTTATGATTTTAAGACTTACGTTAGTTTATATCATGTTTAAGATACAATTATTTGTTTAGATTCATATTAATAGAATAATTTTTTTAATTATAATCTTAATACCAACATTCAATGGTAAACAATGCTTTAAAAGTTATTGTAGAATTTAGTAGATTTACTGTTTAAAATATTACAATGTCCAAGCTTTTTAACCTTCTAACAATTATATGAAATACAAATAAATACTTCATTTTTATTAATTTTCGTGTGAAAATAGTAATAAAATAAGAATTGTGCTTAATGCAACTGTTTCTGAAGAATATTTAAAAAACATTTAGCTATCGAATTAAAAGAAATTGAAATGAGTTTTACATTCCTAGATGGATATTTTTCAATTACAATTTATTGTTTATCCAATTTTAGTTGAGAACACGAATTAAGAAGCTAGAGGAAGAAAATGAAACTGCTAAAGCAAGCATATCAGCATTGACAAAAGAATTGGACCACCTCACTCTATCGCACAGCCAAATTCTTGTAGAAAATACTAAGTTAACGAATGATAAATTACGTTTGGAGCAAGAAATGAGGAAAACAGAGAGTAGATGTGATATGACCGTCCGTTCTATACACGACAAATTTAACAAAGAGGTAAGGTCTTCAAGATTTATTTTACAAAATAATATGAACAACCTTTTTGCTATGATAGAATATAATTTCAAATCACGTCTACTATTTTTTATATTATTGGTTAGGAATGTTCAAAAGCTTCCATCGTCACGTTTAAATAGTGATTAAAATTAATATAGATTTGAAATATAATTTTTGACGTCTGTTTTCAGATATCGGATCTAAATCAAGTAAACGAATCTCATAGGGTACGATTACAGGAGCTAGAGGTCGCTAACAAAGAACTCCGAAGGCATGTTGCACTTTGCGAAGCAAGTGATTCGGCGCCAAGTTCCAGTGGAGTTTCTTCAATACCTACAGAGGCTATACTGAAACAAACATGCGAGGACTTCATGCAAGAATATCCAGCTTATAGCGTTAGTTGATAATTTTTATTCACGATTAACACCTTCGCTGTTACTGACGCATGTGTTGCATTCCGTCAATTATTTCAATAATACTTATCACTATGAGACAATATTCTTCTTTTAAGTGAGAAGACGCATATTATTCTTATTTACACTTTTTCTACTGGAAGCCTATTAATAGATTTTTCGAGTCCATCGATTGTTGAAAAAAAAATTAATTGTTGATATTTTGATTATTACAAATTAGTTTATGAGTTAGTTGAAGCAATAAAAATTAAATGCACTTTACTTAAGAGGAAATTGAAACTAAGAGTTACACCTTTAATCTTTGTCTAATGCCAAGTTATAAAATGATAATGCTTATTTATTTTATTTGTGAACGGTAGATAATGTGTTAAGAATAAAAATATTCAATAAAAACAAAAAGGCAACATTTGTGTTAACAGTGTATTATTGTAACAATTGATAGTGAAAGGTGTTAAGTTGGATTATTTGCTGCTTTCCAATCAACTACTATTAACTACTATTTTTATATAGAATTCGCAATATTGGTTACCTGTAAGTTACCCAACGATGGGTGGACGTAGCAAGACAAGTTGTTCACCAGATTTAGGGATTGAGAGCGATGCAGCTATTACAACTATGAGACCATTAAAAGATACTTTGAAAATCACCGAATCAATGACAAATTTATTAAGCGACGAAGACAATGGCAATAGTAACAGAGCAGTTCGAGAAATGGATAACGAAAGCCCATTGCCGATAGAAGGTAATTTTTATAGAAATTTTACTATGATTATATCTAATAATTTCACCGAATTCTTTCAAACATTCACAAATTATTATAATCTTCTTAACTATCTATAATTTCGTTCAATTAGAGTATAATAATTAACAATATTCCATTTTATTTTATTAGGTCTCGACGAGGTGGAAGCTTTAAAACAAGAAAATGAAACGCTGAAGAGAAGGCTAATGAAAACTAGAAGGGCATTAGAGGATACTTTTCAACATCTATCCGCGTCGAACAAAAACAAAAAGAACGTCGAAAAGGCTATAGCAAAACAATTACAAATCACGAAGAGTATACTGAAGAAAACAAGGACGTACGAGGAGCCGTTGGATAATTGATAGAGTTAGAGGAACCAGAATGTAAAGTCGCTGTTGGTTGCAAATTTTAAAAATTGACGTTACAGTTTACTTTTTATAATTGCGTTATTATTATATCTCTGTTATTGACGCGCTGTTTGATTCTATTTAAATTTCAAATTAAAATTGTACCAATTGATAAACGACAGCGACGCTTGTTATATTGTGTGCTAACTGCGAGAAAGTATTTTCATACATTTGTGAAAAGAAAAGAATGAAGAAGGTAAAGCGTACTTTTGAAAAGAAGATGAAACTGTACATTGTGAGTTTTGTATATAATTGTGTAATCGTTCTTTTGTAGATTGTTTCTTCTTTCCAAAGATTTACGCAGTTTTAATTAACAAAAGATAAAACTGTCCATTTTATCGTATTTCGTGTTTTTCGAGACCAGAAATTCGTGCTCGTGTACATATAAACTCAGAATTTATCATTTTACTCAGCATCTGTACATAGTCCCACAAATAAAGTGCCATTGATATTTGACAAATATTGAAATTTGTGACCAAATTCATTCCTAAAATTCCTAAAATCATTCCTTCCATTATAAATCGTTTCCTTTTTCTTTTCTTCTTTATTCAACTGTATTATATCATTTGATAAAATGATTAAACAATATTTATTTTTTAATAGAAACAAAAGAAACTTTACCAACATTTAACATTAGAAAAATTCTTAAACTAATTTCATTCTTCTCATAAGATAGCATTTGAATAAAAGAAAAGCAAGACATATTTAGTAAATAAAAAGAAAAAAATATTTAATCACGATGGTATTATCATCTGCTACTGTTTGATAATTTGTATTAGGCTGACAATTAATTTGCGAAATGGGTACATATCTACTTTAAAATTTTAAATAAATAAATAAAGAATAGAAATTAATTAGCATATAATAACTTTTTCTTATCTTTTCAAAATCAATGTAGATTTCAGCGAAAGAACTTTAATAAATTAAAAACAAAGTTTGGAATATTTTGACGAGTTTAATTAATATGACACGAATTTGATTCAAATAATAATGCTTACTTCGATTAAAAATTGTTATTACTTAATATTATAATAAATAATTCTCAAGAAAAGAAAAAGGTAAAGCTCGTAAAGTTACTTCCCAATCTCATAACGTCAAATTTAATTCTTTTCTAATTTCAATTTTAATAAAAAAAAATTAATATAGTATCCACGTAACCGACAAGTAAAACTTCAAAAAGGAATCTATATGCAATTCCTACGTGAAATATAAAACATCCTAATAAAATTTGCTTACTACAATCATTCCTGTAAATGAAATATTCCGACGTTAAAAATATGATTCAATTGTAAAGCTAAAAAGAAAATACAGGGTGATGTAGATTACGATAGAATTTTTATTATCACTCGATGACTAGATAATAATATAAAGATCCGTAGTAACTCATGTCGATGAAGTTTATGAATTGCGCTAGTCACGCGAATCTTTCTCTTTTTTTTTTCTTTGTGAAATTCGGTGAGGAGCACGTGTTCGCTTTTCATAATTCTGTACAACATTCAATATTCTTACCCGACGGAGTACAGCATATTTCTTGACGATCGTTTTTTTCGCGGGTAAAACGATTGGGGACGACGTATATACAATTCTACAGTGATATTTTTCTTTCTGTCTCGGTCCTTGTTCATGTCGCGTGATATCTCAATTGCTCCTTCGAATAATACGAGGCACACGAATAATTTTTGAAAAATAATTTCAAAAGTATACGATTATTAATGATTGCGCGCCAAAATATTTGAAATAGAATCGACCGCGGCATGCCTCGTATCATTGCGCATGCGTCTAAAATTAATCGTCAGATTCGATCGATCGAACCTGCTACTTTTGATTATCGATTATTTTATATCTAATCGTACTTTTGCGAGTATGTGTACTTTATGTGTACATACATATACATTTTATACATAACGCATGTATGAATCGAGGACAATTGACATCGTTATGACTTTGATTATTTAAAATTATTACCACTCTACCGATGAAAATGTAATTAACAAATCTATGGATTAAAAGAGGAAGTTCAAATGGTAAAAACTGTTATCTGTTTGAATCATTTAGTTACAGATATTTTTCATAAAATTTTAAAGAAACGTAAGGTATTTATCCTAGAAAACATTTCACAATTTCATCCGTAAAGTGTCAACCGTGCAAATCGAACATTCGTTTAAATCAGATCGATCGATCGAATCGTCCAACGATAGTGGTTAATCGATAAAACGTGACACAGAACGCGTCAAAGGTGTAATCTAATGACGCTCAGTTACCCCAACGATAAACAAACATGCAAACAAACTGTGATTTGATAGTCGATCGAACGTCGCCATATTTGTTTGGCGATTTCGTGTACGTTGACGGAACCGAGTAACTATCGTCTAATAATTTGTTTAAAACAAGACTTACTTTTAGATGACAACCTCAGACACTGGTACCAGGATAGAAAACATTTCAAGAGTTACTATATATCTCACGATACACCGTCAATTATACAGTTATGTAGATGCGTCTATCCAATGACAGGGGTCCCATGAGGTTCGCCGATCGGAAACAAAACGTCTTATACGTGATAAAATACGACACGATCAACGGTTCACATCCAACTGTCACGATTAGAAATCACGCTATCACAAGATTGTTTACAAGACGCTCGAAAGTAGAAGCGGAAGTATACAATTAACGCGGACCGTTTACACGTCACGTCTACACCCTACCGCTTCTCAAAGTCGACTGACCATGAGCGGTTCGCGGAAAGGTAAGTAGCGTGCTTTTGATTGGCCGCGATACGCGCCAATTTCAAACTACTAAATCCTTACACGTGGTGACTTTTATGGGATAATGTGATTGTTTACACTGTGATCAACCAACATTGATCTTTCTCAAACGAATCCTTATAATTCGTTGATATCTTTTCCAAACAAAGTTTTGTAAGTATACTAATCAAAAATATCGAAAAATGTTAGGTAAATTTTTGTTCACATGGATGATATCTAACGAGCGTCGATTCGTAAAAGTGCTTCAGGGTTAAATTTATATTCGGAATTTTGCTTGCGGACGGCGTCGTCCCTGCAAAGATCGCTGTACGCCAATCCTCTTTATATTCTGTTCCTACTTATCATTTTCTGCCTTCTTTTACTGTAGTATGATAGAATCTAATCTGAAAACTATTTACAATAAATGACACCTGAAACTTCTATCGTCACGTAAGCGCTGTAATACCACAGAAACGTGTCCTATGAACGAAACGATGTGATTTGCGAATTAGAATCGCGATTTTTCGATCGATACAACGGAGTCGTTCGTTGGAAGAAGCGAATGGAGCTCTCCGAAATATTTCCCAAATATTGATTTTGATCAATATCAAGGTATATGTTCGAAGAGCAGTTTGTTTCTGTTGAGTCGCATCGATTCAAACGAACGCTCGTTTCTCGCGACACGTCTAAACTACCCTCTAGGTTTCTTTATTCGACGATTAAACTCCATAGTACCGAGAAACGAGGAACTTGTACATAAATATATTTAGATTAATCGTACCTATCGAATGTGTATCGTACGTGCGCTATAAATGTAACGTTATACGACAGCTCAGACAATATGGCATCATTTCGATGACGGGAAACCGGCCGGGACGGTGCAGAGTACGGTGTAGAATGATTCCCTGGCTCGAGTCGGTGCTCGATTGTCAGCTTTGTATCGAGTTCCTCTCGTAGATGAATCCTTTTTCTTTTACGATGGAACATCGAGAACACCGAGATCCTTTCGATCGGGTCGAGGATCGTTAACATCGACGATCGACGAAGGACAGGTTGATCGGATGGAGGGCCTTAGTCTTTCGACCGAGTTATGTTTCGTCGAAGGGCTCGTCAGGTGAACGCTTTGCGCCGATCCGCTCTTCCGAACGGTGCTTGGCAACGCGTAAGTTTGCCGGGTTATGTGGCGTAGTGTGAATGGTGGTGAGCATGTGGAGGTGGTGGTTCGCCGAGCCATGAATCGGGCGAGGGTGGAAAGTCTGGGTAACCGCCTCCGCCGCCGCCTCCACCGCCTCCGCCGCCTCCGCTCGATTCGTTGCTCAAATCCGACGCTGGCCCTGGTACCATGCCACCTGCGCCTCCTGCAACATTCATCGTCCAGTTGGTAATTATCGATGGGGGTACAACACTTATTCTTTTATTTAAACAAGAATTCATGATAATTACACAACACAATATTAGTGCAAAATTTAAGTATAAATAATGATCACCGTAAAAACAATCATTTTCATGACATACATAGCTCATTTGTACCTAATGATGAGAAAAGAAACTTACGATTAATGACTAATAATTGTATATGTTAAAGAATTGTACTGGTAACAAAGGTCCTCTATCCTGCAGTTGTATGGATTTTTTATTAAAGTATGTCATAGTCAAAGGGTTAAAATGTACGTAGAAAAACTAAATTAACAATTAACAGGAACTTCTATTAGTGTTGTAAAAATGTACGACATAAAGAACATAAAATATGTTAAGTTTAAAATTTGATATTTCGAAGTCGGCTGTTTGATGTTTTAATAGTTTATGGTGTGATAATGATACATTTACTTACCTAGGGTAGTGTAGACGGAGAGGCCAGCATCCGGTGGATATGGGAATTGAGGTGGTAAGGACGGTGATCTGGACGTTGAAAGATAAGGGGGTGTTGTTGCACCCAAATAACCACGTGGAGGGCCCCCACCTGCCCCATTTCCACCGCCACCTGGACTCGCGCCTTCACCATCTAATCCCATGTTCACCACAGTGCCGTAACTGTCGTTACTCAAATCTAACGATAAATGCAAATATTCATTTATTATCAAAAAGAATGCTTTTAATATCACAAAGAATGTATTTTTTTGGACACTAGAACAACCAAACCCCTCGAAATAATGAATTTCAGATTTATTATAACTAAATTGCAGAATTTATTAAGATGCTTTTGTCGAAATAAAGATGAACTTTTATATTGAGATAGAGATGGATTGTACATACTAATTTATTTTTCTTCTCTTTAATTCATTTCTTGACTTTATTTTCAATAATTTAAAAGTAATTTAAATTCATCCGGTTGTTCCAGTGTTAAATAAATTATAAAATCATTACATGATTATTTTGTATATCTAACGTTTTGCTTTACAAACAATTTAATATAGCAATTAAAATAATTTATAATTTAAACTTTGCAATGTATTTAATCTTATGGCACATAAAAATAAATCTATTATTGAAAGTAAGTTCTTACTAATTGATAATCAACTTGTTTTAAAATATTTAAAATTTACAAAAATCCTTTCAATACTCACTGTCAGATTTTATGCAATGTAAAAGTAAATTTCGTTTCTAAGCGTAAAATTTTACCCTAACAATGAATGCACTTTAACAAATTTATTTTTTAATCTGAAACGTAATTGAAGTGCGCGTGATTAAAATGCTGTCAGGCGAAGGAAAGACACTCGGTAATGATGTTGTTTAAAATTTACGCAATAGCTGAAGTTTACATGACTTTACGACGAGCATGGTTAACGATAGGCATAAATTCGAGGATAGTCCGCAATCTTCCTGAAATCTCGGACACGGTGAACTGGCAGTTAGCCGCCACGACTACCTGAATAATTGACGAGATCGTCTTCCCCTCCGCTAAACGCTCTAGTACACGAGAGCTTAGATGTAACCAACGTTAAAGCGAATGTAACACAGGAAAAGAATACTTCTTTTCAGTATTTGTATTTTTCCAATTTTTTTTTTTTTAACACGTCAACTGTCATGGAAAGAACTTGCTACCGGTATCACGAATTAATTTAACATTACATTGTGCAATTGTAAGTTGCAATTTAATTAATCTTTCAACATAAAAATAAGATTAATTATTTGATTAAACTTTAAATTGTTTTCAACGTTTTGCTGATATTTTTATACTCCGTTTTTTTTATTTCAGTCATTTTCAACTAGTGGTACACGTACCACTAATAATATGCACAAGGCATCTGAGTGGTAGATGGATGATTTGTGCAATATACAGTGTACAATATTTGTGCAATATTATTTAGCAATTGTACATATTAGTTTATTCTTTAAATATAATTATTTTATTAATATACAGTGTGTCCCACCTTAAGTGTTATAATTCCGTTATTCCGTTACTATTAATGATACAAAAAATTGTTGATATGGAAATTGCACGGTAAAAGGGGGCCTATGTTTTGGCCGAAGTGAAAAATCTTTTGCATTATTAGTTTAAGAGATATGACGGTCAAGTTTCATTTTCAAATGGAACTATATATTTTTTTTTTAGTTTATGTGATAGTGCTTCTCAAGACGAATTTATTAAGCTTTAATGTATACACTCGATTTTAATTAGTTTTCAAGATATAACGTTTACAAATTTCCCGATTTTCAGTAGATGCGTCTCGATTTGAGTGGCAAGTTGTAAAAGCGGCCCTACTGTTGCGATCATTAAAATATAATTAATATAATATAATAAATTAATATAATAAAATATAATTATTTTATTATATATCAATTTTATTAAATTTTATTAATTTCAATATAATTAAATGTATAATCTTTCTTAGGTTTTTATGTATGTACACTTGCGATCAAATCAAGCCTTCCTAGGGAAATGCCGATATCGAGGAAGCAAGAATTTTTGAAATCTTTTGACGATGTTAATATTAAAAATGATTTAGAAACAAAATAATATAATCTTTACTTATTAACGGTTTGAGTGTTAAGCGATGCGATCGCACTTTGTTCCATGTCAAAAAATGCCACGGAATCGGCTCAGTGGACCCAACTATCCGTACGTTTAACGTTAATGCAATACACTGTTAATGTTACACGATTGAACACCTGTATTTTTGCAAGCTGATTATTTTAGAATGCAAATAATTTGATAATTAACAAAACTATAAAATTAAATAGAGTTACCGCGCTGCATAACGCATTGTGACATAAAACAGAAGAAGCGAGATCGCGCCGCGTGGCATTTTTCGACCGGATTTTTGTAAAAACCCAGTCAAAGTATTAGTATAAAACTGCGAAGTACGAATAACAAAATAAATATTAATTCAAATTTTCAAGCTTCAATGTTTACACGCAAATGATAGGGCCAGATTCTTATACAATCTTATATTCTCGGAAAGGCCGAGAACCGATTTTTCCTAGAGAAACCTGACTTGATCGCGAATGTATGTACTACAAGACATATTGCTTTTGTTAATGATAATAAAATTCTTAAATTGTGATTTTGGTGATACGCATTTATGGAAAGGTTGAGAATTGCTGATTTATTTTATTTTGAAAGCGTACATTAACTTCCACGTTGAAGCTACGAAAAATGTCTTTTTTGAAAGGAGAATTACAAGCACACTGCAATGTAGGAAGAGAATTTGAACATTCAAAAATTTTGTTCTTTTTATTCCTTGAAGAATTTTTTGTTTTTGTAGCAAGTTATTTCATTTCAGTGTAATAAAATCTGTTGCAACACGAATATATTCGACGATCCTAGGCATTGATATCAACATTTTCTCGTTTCACGAAACGGAAGAAATGCTTGTGCATACAAAAGGGGAACCTGCGTACATTTCGCGATATTGGAAACACAAATAACGTGTTATCGGTCGCTTTTCAATGCCCATTTTTAATAACGCCGTGCAATTTTTTGACTACAGAATCATCAAGAACATTATTTGGGATAGACGGTACAAATATTGCTCCTATAAATTGCAATTTCAAATAAAATAATATGAAAATGGAATTAATCAAGATGTAATAATTTGTTATTATATACATATAAACTATGATAAAACTATATTTACAATTTAATCATAATGTCTGCTAGAATTTTATGATGATAGATATTAATTACAAAAATTGAATAAACCGTTTAATATTTCAAGATCATTAATTACAATTGCAGCTTGAATATTAAAAATCTCTTTGCATAAATTTGTATTTTGCAAATGTAAATCGATGCACATGTTCAGAAGAATACAAACTGTTAAAAGAAATATAAAAAGGGGTACTCGTTTGTTCAGTTAAAGTTTGATCCTTTTTATTTGAATTATTCTAATTGCTATATCTTATTTTGAATATAATAAGTGGGATCAAATTTCAATCATTAAGATTCATTTTTGTTTTGTTTTCACAGAATAATGTATGACGATATTCTTAATAAAATGTTTGACAAATCAATTGAGCTATTTTTGCAATAAAATCATAAGAACAAAGAACAAAATAGGTAAATGTAAATATTGGTACATACCATGGTGACCAAAGGCGGAGTCTAAGTCGACCTTAAGTTCATCCTTATCAAGGAGCTTATCATGTCTAGGTGAATGTCCACCAGCTCCTGTTCCTTTCATACTTCGAAAATACTGTGACCATCTCGTTCTTCCCGCATCTTTTTTCAGTCTCTTCTCCTTTGCTCTCCTATAAACAACAAATAATACAAAAAATAATTATTATTTGAAATACACCACTACCAAAGGGATAAAAACTATTACGGGTGGCAATTGATAAAAGCTTTCGCATTAATCAATAGCTGTTAATATAATTTCTTTTAAACAAATAAATAGTAATACAAAAGTAACATTAATTAATTAATTGACTTTAGACAAAGTTCTTAATGAAAACGTATGAGTACCTACGTGTACTTTAATTTATTTTAAATATTTGACAGAAGATTATTCTTCTTTAAAATGAATAGTATTAGATTTATTCTTATTTCTATTTATTCATTCCTTTTTTCAAAATTGTGAAAGAATGCCAATTGTAAGATATGTTTATTTTTTGCAGACACTCCAAAATCAGCTAATTTTACTAAGAATGCTAATTGCAAAAATATAAATAGATCAAGTTGAATGAGCCTTTTATTTAGATACTACAATAAATCTAAATTTTTTATTTTGAAATTCTCTTACAATGCCTGAAATCTTCATAAAATAAATTTTTCTCTTCATAAAAAAAAGAAGAAAAAAACAGATCGTGGAATACAATGGTAATTCAGACTCTCTCGTTTGAAATTGAAGAACTTCTATAGATTACCATTGTTAAAAATTCTAACAAAGCATTAATTTTATATCCATGCGATTTTTCACCCATTGCAACAAGAATTGTAAGTTATTTTAACATTGTTAAGGAGCATCGAGAAGATGTTTCCAGAGAAAAATATACCTACATCACACGTGCGTATTTTTACAACCTCTACGTTCCTTTTATCAATAATTATAAAAGAAATCGTGATAACAGTACAGTGCATCGACATTTTCACAGTGTTCTGCTCCATATAAAAAAATCATAGGATTAACATTAAACACAGACTTGCTAGTAACTGTAATACACGTAGGTACTTGTAAAGCTGATAAAATATTTTTTTCTTCTGCTTGCTACATTGTACGCAATGTCATATCCTACGTTGTCGAAACCGATAAGATGTGTTATAAAAATCTGAATTTACAGATAACTGATAAATAAAACATAGCACGTATCACATAAAGCTGCTAAATATATTTTAAAAAATGAAGATAATTTATTTTTCAATGTTGAAGAAATAAAAATTTATTTAAATTAGATTCGCTTAAAAACTATAGAAATTGATGTTATCTGGTCCAATTAAGTTTCAGTTATAAATGGCTTCTGAAACCATGACAAAACTGTTTTTCTATGGTATCCTAACTAGTAACGAGAATATTCGGGTAAGAGAAAAGACTCGTTTAATCGTATTTGGTATTAAAATTTAAGTATCGTTTAAATGTTAACCTGTGCAAGTTGCTTAAAACTTTATTCCTTTTAATTGGTTTCACTCTTGTACATTCGCGATTAAATCAGACTTCCTCTCCCTGAGGTTCCCACCCCTTTTCAAAGGGCATTTTCAAGGAAAATGACAAAGTTGGGAAACGGCCCCATGTTTGTACATATACAGGGTGTCCCGGCTAAGGTGTGACAGACTCGTTATTCCGTAATTATTAATTAAAAAAGATTGTCGATATGAAAATTGCACGGTACTATGGAAACTATGTTTTGGCAGAAGTAAAAAATTTTTTGCATTATTAGTTCAAGAGATATGATGGTAAAGTTTTGTTTTTTAAAATGGAACTATATATTTTTCTCAGATCACGTGAAAGTGCTTTTCAAGACGAATTTATTAAGCTTTAATGTATACGCCCGACTTTAATTAGTTTTCAAGATATAACAAATTTTCCAATTTTTAGCAGAGCCGTCTCGGTTCGAGTAGCAAATCGTAAAAGTGGCCCTATTGTTGCGGTAAGTACCCCATGGTGTGGAGGATGGTGTTTTCTCCACCAAAAATATTTTACCGTGCAATTTCCATATCAATAATTTATTGTACAATTAACAGTTACGGAATAACGGTTCTGTCACACTTTAGCTAGGACACCCTATAAATCTGTAATTCCCTTTTACTTGTGTATAAATGTTTACGCGGGAAAATTTGAATTAATATTTACTTTGTTATTCCTACTTTTCAGTTATATACTAGATTTTATAATATTTAACACTAGAACTACCAAACCAGTTAAAATTACAGGTTTCAAGTTTCTTATTTTAACGTGCAAGTATTATTAAGGTTTTTTTGTTGAAATGTATGTTGGCTTGACGAGATAAAGAATTATGTTTCGTCCTTTATCTATTTAAATTTCTACATTATTTTCAACTTAATAGTAAGCGTGTATCAAACTCGGTAATTCGAGTGTTAATAGTTAGAAATCATATTATTTTGTTTCTGAATCATTTTCACTATTAACTGTACTATATTTCATGCAATCCGTGGTCAAGTTGTTCTAAATAAAGTGAACGATTTTACATAAGTTCTTGGACCATCAACGCTCGAACGACAGATTACTAACAAATTAAATTAAATTGTATTTCCATTTTTTTAAGTGCATGCTATTTCTTCAAATATGATGCTTATATCATTTTTTAAAAATTTAGGTAATAAAGTTGATTCGGCGTGGGCAACCTGAGTCAATTATGTTCACGATCAATCTTTTTAATATGCTTGTCATTCAAAAAATCTGAAAAAATTCTGGAATACTTAATAATCGTTCTTTCAGTCAAATGTTTAAAAGATGAATTGGAAAAAGTAAATATTTGTTAGGAAGTTCGGAAAAGACTATTCAGCGTGTTTACGAACGGTTACATTTTTTCTCTCTAAATCTTTGATCATTATTTTGTTAATCGACTTCGAAAAAGGAGGAGGTTACTCAATTCGATCGGTATATGTATACGTGTACTTACTTATATATATGTATATATATATATTCTTTTAACTAAATATTTAAGTTTTTAAACAGGGATACTGATAACAAATGAATTAATCTGCTAGCTATAAGTTGTAAAATGATGATACTTATCTATATCGTTTATGAATGGTAAGTACAAATGTATTAGGTATCATTAGCTCGTATTTACTAAATGTTAATATTTCAAATAAACATACCTGTTTTGAAACCAGACTTGAACAACACGCATGTCGAGTCCTGTATCCTGTGAGAGTTGTTCTCGCACGTGCCTTGCTGGTTTAGGACTGGTATTATAAGCTAATTTCAAAGTTTCCAGCTGTTTTGCCGTGATCGTCGTCCTCGGCCTTTTGTTTGGTTGGTCACCGTCTATACTTCCTCCGTCTGCCAATTCTACAATTTGAAAAAATGGGAGCGTTCAACAACAAATTGTAAATAAAGGAATTTCATGCAGAAACATTCTTCTGAATTATTTTTTCGTAATCTATACAATCATATCAATGCAACATTTGGGTAATATTATTTATTTCACTGTACTTGTTAATATTTTTAAAATTTCTATCTATGACGTTACAATTTAGACATTCGAAAAAAATGTAGCAAGTAGAATAAATTAATTTTTCGAAGGATACTTGTTCTAAGGTGTTCTAAGGAAAATCAAATTCGTTTAAGCATCAATTCAATCCTTGTGCTATGGAACATCATGCATCTAATTTCAAATAACTTACAGAATTTAAATTTCTTTCGAAAACTTTGTAAGAAAATATAGCAGCAACGAAAAGAAAAATTCAAGTATAATATCTTTTCAATCAAGAGTAAAAAATATTATTCAGATACCTTCACAATCATTGCAATTGAAGAGTTTTAAATAAAATTACTTTTTCTTACATTATATCTAAAGGGTTAAAATAAGAAATCTATACAGATATAGAGCAACTGATCGGCAACAATCTCATTTTACTAACAAAAGAAATATCTGATCAATGAAGTGTAATTTAAAGGATTGAACTTAAACAAATTTATTGCAATTGAGTGTAATTTATCTTTTACCTTTTGCCTTTGCCTGTTCGTAATCGGGCTTGCAAACAAGCTTCCTGTCCTCCATGAGGTAGAATTCGTCGCCAGTGTCCAACTGTCGAGAGCAAAGGGCGCACGAGAAACAAGTTAGATGGTAGACCAATTCTTGGGCCCTACGCACAACTTGCGACGGTGCCAATCCTTGGCCGCAGCCCGCGCATTTCGTCCCAAAACGCCTGCCACACCAACAACACACAACATTTTCACATTACGTTCGTGCATTAGTGACAGCAACGTGTCGCCGTATCATGCTGATACTGCCTTAAAAATAGAAATGTTTTTTTCTTGTATTAGAAACTACAGGTTTTTTTTTTTTAAATTAGTTAACCCTAGAGTGGTCGCGAGAAATTTGGACAAGTTTTATACACGTTTTCGTGTGTTTACTAAAAAAATATTTTAACGGAGCGTTATTTTTGTATAGTCTAAGTTAATAAATAAAGGATAAACTTTAAAGTGGGGTTTCACCCTTTAGAAACATTTTGTGACAGATAAAACATTTTATTCTTCTTAAAATTAGAAGGGGATACCACAACAGGCTTTCTTTGTAAATATTGTATTCGAATAGTTTTTTTAACCATATCTATTATGAAATAACTGTTGGGATTATAATTAGTATTAATTTGTGTACTGATTGTTACAATTGAAACGACTACATAGGGTACCATACATTTTAATTTAATAATTTGAATTTCATTTTATATTTTACAATATTTTATTTTTCTATTATAAATTCTGTATTATGACATTCTTTTAAATATTGTTTTCTGGTAGATTGTCTTCAACTTTAGTTGAAGTAGTATGTTCGGTAGATTTAAACTACGATCAATCCAGTTTGGCCGTTCAATACAAAGTATTGAGGATACAATGATTTTATTAATTAGTATGATTATTTATATTGCTATCATCTATTACTGTTAAAGTCTGAATGGTACTTAGAATACCCTATATTTTTTGGTTTAGTAACTATTTGATTAAATTACATTGATTGAAAGTTAGAATAAAATTAATACCATAAAATAGTGAAAGTATTTCTTATCAACCACAATGTATCTATATCAGGGAAACTGGAAGATTGTAAACCACTTACTGTTAGAGTAGGTATCTCTTGAACAACAGGCACTGAATCACTATGCACATAAATAATACTACTTCAATAACTTATCTACTGTATTTTTTATTAGAAAAATCATTTCAACTTAATCAAAATGTTGAATTAATTTTCAAATAAAAATTTCCAACTTAGCATGTACCATACATTATTATCATAACATTATACCAAATTTTTTTAAAATTATTCTATAACATAAAGTTTTAGATATCAATTCTCGGTGACCATCATATGCTAGTTCATTTAGCTGAAATTTCATTATAAAGAAAAAAAGAAACTAACAATACTTTAATCTTTCTTGAAGATATTAATAAACGTTGTGACGATTAAAAATAAGGCTTGTTTCTAGAAATAATGGAAACCATCTCCGAGCCGATACGTCAAACGCAACAAATCATTCCTTCATCGAACTTGAATGTTCTTTTTATTGTTTCTGAACGCGTTGCGAACTCGAATCTTCCAATTCCCCTGAAAATTCCGATCCCAAGAAAGGGCGAGTTCTATGGAGAAGGATGAGACGAAGCGGAAAGGGAGCAAGTTCCTTCGACTCAGAAGAAGAAAAATGGCGTCTCGTACTTTACCAAAGTATGGGTGGATGAGAAAAGGCGCGTTCTACGGACACAATCGATACCGCTCCCAGATGTATGTACTTACTTACGTGTGTGTGTATGTGTACACGTTTGATCTAACTTTTTGTACTTTCCTATTAATATCTACTTTTTTATCATCCATGATGAATAATACAGAGTTTCGGTTCTCCACGTGCATTTTGCAAGCGATAAATAGTAACTGATAAAAGTTTTATATACCTTTCTCACTATCTCTCCAGATAGTGTTTATAGGAAGAAAAAGTGTACGTACATGTTGTTACGTAATGATGTATTGATTATCTCACGATTCACACGTTTTTCATATGCGGCATAAAGGTGTTTTGAACAATATTTTTTTATAATACGTGTAACATATTGATATTGTCTTTACGTAACTTTCTTTTTTAAAATCGAACTTATTTATCCAACAATGCAATAGCTGTTGCATTCAATACAATGGAAGAAAATGATTGGCTGAAGTTAAATTTTGTAATGATCAGAAAGGCGATGGGAATGAAAAGATAAAAGTAAAATAAAAAATTATTGAATTTTTAGAAATAATTATTGGTACTTACTTGAAAAAGTCGTCCTTGCAGAAAACATGACCGTTCCTCGCAAAACATTTGTCGGTCAATCTTGCACCGCAATCTCTGCACGTGAGACACCTCGCGTGCCAACACCTTTCGAGAACCCTCAGAACGTACTTGTCCAAAATTGCTTCCTGACAGCCTCCACATTTTGGTATCGAGGCTGCAACATTCACCAGACCCTTTATACAGCAACCAAAAACATCATCATTCATTTTCGAATCAAAATTTCAATGAGTTATTTTCGCGATTCATCAAAGAGTAAAAAAAAGTTGTGAATATAAATGATGAGCAAATTAATATATTGAGCGCCGTGGAAGTCGATGGTGATTAGCACTACAAATTTAATATAATTGAGTAACTGAAAGAGCACAAAATTCAAGAAAATACTTAATGCCGTGGTTAATGATATTTATTATAATTTATTATAGACCTGAATTTAATGAATTCATTTAATGAATCTATTAAATTTTATAGTGATTTCTAAACTGAATACTATTTCCGTGATTAATTCTAAGTTTTTAAGAAAGATAAGTATATAAAAATAATTATATTGATGTACACGTATTATCCTATCGAACCGACGCGACGGGAAAGATTAAATGTAAGATTTTGAAAATACATGAATCACAAAATAATAACAGTTGTTTATATTTATTTTGAATAATTACAAATAAATGTGATTTGAATTTTTCTGTAAGTGTGTGTTGCAATGATTATAAATTAATTTAGATTTCTATTATCACGAATAAAATTTTTATCACGGTTTTTTAAAGTCGATTCACTGTCATAATAACAAATTACTAAACTGATTATATTTTATTTTTATCATCTAATGTTCTAATCTTAATGTGGATATTTTGAGAAGAAATTACTATAATTTTTACTTCCACTCGACCTTCATTTCTGCAATATTGTAATACCATAATTTTATAATTATAATATTGCAATAAAAGTTGATGAGAATTATAAGAGATCAAATAATCAAAAAAATAAATACTATGGTAATTTTTTTTCACATTATCCATAACAAATTCAGAAAGGCCGGACTATAAAAATGAGAAATGCCTATATTTGGTTAATTTATTAAACCAATCAACATCAAATAACGCAATAAATTAAAAAAAAATATTTTGTAATTATTAGACGAAATTTAACATTCTTTTCTTCAAAATCAAATTTCACATTACTATAGCTCTTTCAACACTTCAAGTACACTTGCACATCGTGTCAACTCTAATTAGAAACTATTTAAGTGTCACACGATTTCTTTACACCATTGGTAATGAAAATTCGACCAACAGGATCAACATTCCTCACTTACAATAAAGAATCTCGGGAATGTGAGCCGGTAAACCGAGTTCCAGAGCCGGCTGATCGAGTGGATGCATTTCGTTGTGGTCAGCCTTCTCGAAGTTTGTGACGTTCACAGTGTTTCCGGCGTTACTGCTGTTCCGGCGGACGTTCTGCGACTCTGGACTGTCATGTGGCGGTGTCAAGATATCTTGACGAGCACGCCGATACATCCCTTCCAGAGACAGAGCCTCCCGGCCCAACATTTCCAGGCTTATCATAGTCATAACTGCGACTTTCTATCCGATTCACTTGTCTCCAGTCATTTCTTTTTCTTCATCGACAATTAGTCAAACTCCAGACGTTGATAATTTAGGACTAATTAGCTGAATACTACGTGTAGCTTTTGATCCTAATGTTAATTTTTATTTTTCGCTTCATATGACGTTCGTTTATTGAATCTTGATTATTTTGGGACTTTTTACGTCCCCATAGAATTTCAATTTAATTTTTCTTTTATACCCTGATGATTAACATTCATTATTCCTAAGTTCTAGGTCATAATATCTAGAATATTCGTCTCACCATCATAACAGATGTTATATTCCACTGTTTTTTAAAAATAAACATGGATATTTCAATCCTTTTCGGTAACAAATTTGTCCCAATTCAGTACATATTTTTAAATATGTCCTTCATTAAACAATAAGTGCTTCACCAACTTCATTCAACAAACTTATCCAACACTTTTGTAAATCCATCGAACTATTGTTTTAAAGATAACAAAGGACCAATGATTATAGAGGATGTTGATGTATTGAGAGAAGGAAAATCATTGAGAGTGAATCAGCGAGTAGCGATGCTAACGATGCGAGGATACGCGACAGACTGTTCGAACGATACTGGAGCTGCTCGTGCGCACGTGACACTTGTGGGTGTGGCAAATTTTCGGTGGGGCGTGTGGCAATCCTATTGGCTATGGCTCGCACCTACGCTTCTAACGCTTTGACACCGATTGGTGGAAAGATCGACCGCCTCCAATATGGCGATCGGCGCACCACAAACAGCTTTCCGTACGCGAACGCTGTCCTGACTTGCTGGGTGCTGGCTAGAGTGCCGGTGATGTGCTGTTGACACGGTGATGATACGCTACGAGGATGAGAATGAACGTTTCTTATGTTTCTGATGCTTTTGACAGAGAAATGTATTGGCTTATGTTAGGGTGGTGACATTTGCAGTTGCTGGGGTTGAATTTCAGTTTACTGCAATTTTAGTTGGATGGTTAGTACATATGTAAATCAGAGGTCTGGCAGCGATCTTTGATCTTATTGTCTATGTATAAATGTTCTTACTGAAGTTACAATGATTTTGGCAAATTAATTTAGTTAGATATATAAAAGAATAGAATTTTAATAATAAAAGAATAGGTATTTTCGTTAAGTTCTGGATTATATAGATAGACATTTTTTTAAAGTACAGGTAAAAAAAATCTATAACTTGATTAGATCATGTGCGAATATAATAATTAAAGGAATTAGAAAATATGCAATTTTGAAATTTTTATTAATCAATCAAGTGTCAGTTGCCTCTAAAAATGACTTTTTTACTCAGGAAACCCCATATTGCAGCGTGCACATGTATTGTTTCTTTTCTTAAAAGCTGTAATTTCAAAGTATAAATTGTTTGTATAATTCCTTCTTTGTCACTCCGAAAAGCGAATAAATCTGTATTATGATTTGAAAGCTTAATAAAAAAAAGAAAAAAGTGAAAAATTAGTTCTTAAATGAACGTTGTACAATATTAATATTAATATTTTATTAGAATCTAAGAATCTAATTAATTATATGAAAATTGTTGTTTTAAATTGTTCATTTAGATTAGATCTATTTCCCTCGTTTGTTATGTAATTATTCCATTTTTAAAGTTCCTTGATATTCTCTTCCAAAGTTATTCTTCTGTGTTTCTAGTGCAAACATACACAAATTAACTTCATCGTCAAAAGTTATAATTACAAATATTATTGATACGCTTTACATTCAATTTGAAGTAGAGTAGAACAATAATTAGTCTGGCAAGCGGACCATAAATAAGGAGTATTCATTGTTTAATTTTTCAAAATCACATCTGACGACTAACATTTATATCAAACTATTATCCAATATCATTTTTTCATTTAGTGATAAATTTTTCATATTCAAACGTTTCAACTTAAAAATAACAATTGTACTATTATACTATCCGCACTGACAAAATTATTGAACAATGGGGATTGATATTTTATAAATATTGTAAAAACTAAATAATGCTTATGTTAAAACGACTGGATTAGAAATACAAATTCTTCGTTATCTCAATGACATATTGTAATATTTAGAAAGGGAGATGGCTAACTTAATTTTTTATTGGCCAAAAAGTATTTTTATAATTTGTCCATCTACTAGCATTTATTATTTTTTATTTATAATTTGTTAAATTTACATTGAACATCCTATACAGGAAAAATCGTAATAGTATTGATTTATCAACATGCAAAAGTTCATAAAAATCTAAGGAAGACATTCGTGCTGACTTTTTTGTAAGAACAAATAGAAACCGAACCGAGTCGTAAAAAGAAAAGAAAAAAATGACAGAGAACCACCCCACCAGTTTGTGCTCGCATTTTCTTCAGTCGACGATCATCCAACGGCACATCCGTGGATCCATTTCCACGGGTACGAGCGTGGCTACGGTTTCTATTCATCAGAATCGTCACGTAAAAGAATTCGTCGGCCTTTACTCGGCGAATTCCTTTGGCAACGTCTAGAGAGCTGCGTCGATTGTGAAAGCAAGCGTCGCGGAAAGGCAAAGAAAGTGGGTGGAGGCGAGCTGGATGCTGGAGAAACGAAAGAAGCGAAAGAAGCGAAAAAGAGGAGGAACGGGGCTGAAGAGTAGGTGGGGGACAAAAGGATCCGAGCGAAATTAAGAACAGCCCTCGGCTCGGGGGGTGAGGGTCGCCATTTTATAATCTTAGTCGAGATCAGACGTGTATACTCTTTTTTTTTTTTTCATCCCTGGCTGGCGAGCGCGCGCCCATACACACCGAACCGAATAAAGTCGACGAGGGTGGGTATAGGTCGACGTATAAGTAAGTAGACGTATAGATGCGCCTACCACCATCAACCGGCACACTTTCAATGCTCGTCTTTGTTTTTCTCGGTCGCGTCAGATGGCTCGTATCCTCTTTGTCCTTGTATCTCGTTCACCCCCTTCGCCTTTCGGATGAAAACCCTCTCTCCGGTTCGCGTTTCAAACGCGGTGCTCGCGATTTTCCTCTTGGCTGTGCGACCTCTGATCGCACCCCTTAACAAGCAGGTTCTGGTCTAGAAATTTTTTAAAACCGACTTTTTTTTCTTCTATTTCATATTTCAGATCTTTAACCCTTCCACAGTTTATCTCAAGTGACATTGTTGATTATTGGATCCAAAAATATTGTTTAATTTTTGTCGTTTAGGACGCTGTTATACCCTAGTATAAAATATACCTACTCTAGTAATACGCACATTTTTTGACAGCAATTCGTAATTTTATTGGACTTTCAAAGAATTAACCTTTGGATTAAAGTATGTATTTTTGCTGTAAGAAAGTAGCCATTTTTGTTCTATTAAAAAGTAGATGCTTTTTTCAAAAATATATTTATTGTAGGAGAGGGGAGAAAAAAGCGTTCTCAGGTTCGTTTGTCAGACTCGTCAGTGGGGCTGATAACAGACGATTCCTGCCCTAGACACCTATCACACCGCAATTCGAAACTTCTATATATTCGAACTGCATCCCGGGCGACCGCTTGCGAGAACACCATCACTGATCATCTCGCTGCCACCTAGCGGTCTCTGG